AATGTCTCGGCAAATATTCAAACAGGCGTCATTTGGATAAACTGACCACACATTGGGGATCTAAACGGTTACTTTTTCACCTGAAAATATGTTAAAACATAATAAAGTGACACATTACCAGCTTTGAGCCTGGCTCAAAAGAGACGCTGGAGGCCAGTTGAGTATAACCAGTAAGCGGCATTTCTCGCTTTTACAAACTTCACAAACTATGCAGTTGGATTGCACTAGATATTCAATTTGACGTCATACTTATTATGAATAGTAATTTAGTATGCGATTCCAGATGTGTGTGGTTTGAGGGTGTCCAGGATGCAACAGCCAGGGTGTTGCATCATCCCATTAATTACCCTCACTGCAGTGTACATGACCCACATGCTTAGAAAGATAAGCAGGGCTGTAAAGAGCATGGGAATAGGGTGAAATAGAAAAAGAAGGGGAAAAAGGATCAGACTAGCAGGACAATGCCCCAATCAGCTCAGCCTCTCACTGTCAACGTTTTCATTATTTTGGCCCAGTTATTAGGGGGGAGCTTTCTTTTGTTCATTTATGAAGTATTTTTTGTGAAAAGTGGCCAGCTGAGAGGCGCCCACCTGTGCCTGGAGAAGGCCAGTAAGTGGGAAGGGCCATGACGGATAAATGTGATCCTTTGTAGAGGCAGTATTGATCCGGCAGAAGGCTCGCTACATGAATCAAGTATGAGCTCCGTACCGTTAGTTCCTTCACTTGCTGCGATGGATGTGCTTCAGTGCAATAGAAATACACACTTTCTCGAGTAGCCCAAACTGGACAAGCTGGTCATTAAACCCAATCAGGCTGAGGGATGCTGGCACTTTGGTGGGCACTGAATGAGGGGCTTTTAGCTTCGGAAGACAGCAGTGTCATTGTTGGCCCAAGTAGCTCATAGATCCATCTTAAAATAACCCATATTTAACACTAATTTGCCACTCTCAAATGATCATCATTAGTTTAGGGTTCCTTAAGCTGTCACCCAGTTAAACCTGCTCAGAAACCTGCTAGTCCACCTCTGAACAACAATTAGTTTTACATGTTTTTAGTGGAAAGGTTTACTGTCCCAGGACGGTCTGAATCCTGTTTCACAGTATTTTCAAATCCAAAAAGAAAAGTATACTTATAATCATTGCTATGTGTTGTGATTTTTCCAAAAGCTATATGAGCTGAGCTCCAGTCCTCACAATAAGCATCCTTTATGCAGCCATGTGGCCGTTATGGTCCACTTCTGCCTGTCTCTAACTCATCCTATGTCTCAATGGCCGTACTGAGCAACAGCAAGTTTCTCCCTTGTCTTTCTCTCTTGGTTGTATTTCCAAACGGCATCCATGTCTGTTTTGTCTCTTATACTATTTCACAGGGACAACCTGTTCTGGTCCTTCTGGATTTAACAGACTGCTGAGCACAGGATATTTACGACACACTCTCACACACACACACACACACACACATCTCCAGAGGATAGGATCTCAGAGAGGCAACACAGCCTATTTCCCTGCAAATTAGGTTAATCACGCTCCAGAGAGGCCCAGTTAATAATCCTCATTGAGGCTATTAAGATGGCACCTAAATCACAGGAATATCTGTATATCTGATGGACCCGTCCACAGTAATGCCACGCTTAGACCCGCGGGTCTTGGAATAGCTAGTGAGGACGGGTCATACGCCTGACGCTGCTACTTTAGACTGATGATGTCGTGCAAGGGCAATTGTTTCTCACCTCAGTGTGGAGTATAATAATACGATATATTAGGAGCCTTGTTTCATTAAGCCAGTGATATTAATCTCAGATACAAAGCAGTTTTCTTTTTCAAGCGGGTACAAGACACAGAATACTAAACACATGATCACCAGGAATATCAACGCACATAAATTTGCACATCATTTGCGAGCTCCAGATTCATTCAAGCCACTGCCTCTCTTTTTCTTCCTTATGTTCAATCATTTGACATATCACAGTTACCCCATCCCCATTAACTACAGGAATTTATCCAGGACAGAAAAAGCCAGACACTTGGAGGGTCACCTGGATTTAACATATTCGGTCGTAGGCAAGTGGAAACTGACAAGTGAAGCCCTCCTGAAAGGCAACTGGTGTCTCTGGCAGTTATATTTTGCAGCTGCAGTGTGCCGAGGCCTGATTGCATCTCCAGTGCCTCCGCGTTATGAGAGCTCACCGTGGGGAACCTAAGACTGTGTGACGTTCATGAAAGATTGAGCCCGGAGATGCCGAGCCTGGGAGAGATGAATACCTGCTGGTTAGCCCTCAAGTGAGACACTCTCTGGTTCGGGTTAGTTATAATCCTGGACCATTACAGGAACTAAATTTATCGTCTTTGAGATACTACATGTATGAAACTTGAGAAACGTTGACTGGAAAGTGTCACATTTAAGAGGCAACGCAGCATGCAAGCTCACAGGACGTGTTGATGTAGTGCGTCTTCCTACTGGCACTTTTCCTTTCCATGTGCATCCTCCTGAGTAATAATTATATGCTTTCGTAGTTCATGCTGTAGAGGGAATTAGGCTTTGCACACTATTCATCCAATGAACCAACCTCTTGCCATTGCCAAAGTTTCAGTGTTGTGTGTTTTGATGAGGATAAAGCACCTCTTCAATCTTACTTGTGAAATTGATTTTTAATTAAATTTTGATGCTTCAAAAGGCTTTCAACAAGCAACTGTGTTCCGCCAACATATTTCAAGTGCTCTAACCATACCTATAAAATACATACATTCATGGAAAATTATTCAACCACTATTTTGACCATTGATCTAAGTAATTTATACACTCATTGATCCAAGCTTCACAAATTTTGCACTTTTATTTAATCGCAAACTGAATATCTTTGGACAATTGGTTAGACAAAAGAAATAATTTGAAGACAACTTCAAATTGTGTGCAGGTTATGATGGGCATGTTTTACTATCTTTTGACATTCAAAAACAACAACAAAAAATTGATTTTTCAAACTTTATTGCAGCTCCTGCCCTTTCTTTGCAGTGAGTTAAAGCTGGGCAATATAGTTCAAATAGTCTATGGAATATATTGCCATAGCTTTATATATCACACTGCGCTAAATGTATGACAAATCACTCATAAAAGAAACACATTAATATCCAAGTGTTCCACTGTTTAGCATCACTTTAGAGAAAACTACACTCAATTAAAATAACTGAAACTAAAAACGACTGAATGAAAATCTATAAGCGATTATACTGAATTACCCCCCAGCCCAAGTCCACAGGGTGTCTTAATCAGACGTCTTGCCCAAATTACATAAAGAGTAACTACAGTGGCTGTCTTTAAAATCCACGGCTTTAATCTACTGAGGAATCCATCCATCCATCCTCCTCTCTAGGCTGCCAAACTCAGTGCTGTTGCATTTACACCCACACATCAAGTTTCTGTAGGTGGTCTGTTCTTTGTTCCAACAGGTACAGAAGCTGTCTCTACATTATGTTCACTGCTCGTTTCTTCTTGTTGTTTTTTTTGTTTTTTTTTCAACTAATAATGATAAACACAACCAATACTTTATCCCACACACTAAATGTCTTGGAAACCAAACACTGCCATCATAATAAAGGACAATCACAAGCAAACACAGTATTTTAGCCTGCGATGGCAAACAGCAATCTGGAACATGGTGACTTATTACAAACGAGAAGTCCATAACATCAGTTCCCGCTCACCCTCGCATCCCATTTTGACATTCCACATCATGTAAGCAAGCAGCAGGGACATTTCTAAGGATGGAAATTGGTTTCTCTGTGCCTCTCACCGATCAATCTCGAGATATGGGAACATGAATGCATTTCATTTCATCATCTTATGCAACCGCTCTGTCTACGGCGTGCATTGCCATTAGCCTGCCAGGTCAGCTCTAAGATGTAGCTACAGTGTGAGTCATGCATTATAAATGAACGGCTCAAAATGGTCAAGAATTAGAGCCACTGGTGGGGGAACGAGATCCAGCAGGTTGGCAAGAGGAATGCCACCGCTGGCAGGTTTGGTCTCATTTCACAGCGTGTCATCACCTCTAAATCTCTTTCACGGCAAATTTATGAGCTCAATTTTAGCTTTTGTTTGCAGACTCTCTAACTGAGTCAAAAGTCTGTAAACTGGTCTTTATACTGCTTAAGTAAGGATACATTTCACTCATCATAAAAACAAAGAAAGTATCCCTTTTTTCATTTGTTCTATGCCTAGATCATTTTTAATTGTCATATAAGAACAGAAGGAGAAAGGAAGCAAAGCCTGAGTGGATGTTGTGATGGATGAAGTAAAACTCCATCTACAAGGCATCCTCTCCTCTATATGGGATCAGCACTATACTCAGTGCACCACATACCAATACTTCCATATTATATATTCATATATTTATCAGACTCCCAGAGCCAGAAGGTGTCGTGTATCTTTTCACCGACTTATTTACCTTGTGAATTCCGCGTTTTTGTATGAGAAACGCGTGCATGTTTGTTTCTCACAAGTGAAAGAGGGAGCCGGCAGACCTAACCTTGAGGCTGTGCGTGCGCGCGGGCGTCTGTACACGTGTGTTTTGAGCGCGCGCGTGCTTCTGTGAGTGTATGTGTGTTGCTTGCGCCGTACTGTTGGCGACCCCCAGCGTGCAGGATGTGAAATTTTCGATCATATTCTATGCTTCAAACAACACTAAACATATCCACATACAGCCTCCGCGGTATTAACACTCTTCAGTGTCAACACTACAACGAAAAAGAGTCGGTATATTTGAAAACTGTGGTACAGAAAACCTACGTTTGCACTTTTTGTTCACAGACCTATCGATACATATAATCCAGTCATCGATTCCAGCAGACTCATAACTTGCAGTGGCGTAGATGAAATAACTAAGACAGCATGTTGTCGAACAGCTTTGTCAAATGTGAATTTATCATATAACATCTACGTTTCTCGGTTGCAAATTCCACTGTAATAACTATGACATTAAATTAAAAATGTTCGTGTCTTACCTGCGCGCAACACTCCGTTTTATCCACATTGTTCTCGGCTATCGAATCCGACTCAGTCCTTCAAGTAGCCTCCCATTGAGATGGGTTTCCTCCAAAGTCGACAGTAGCTGCTGAAAACACTCAAGTGACGGACCTTACTCCGGCTGTCAGCAACGCAACCATCATTTAAGACATATCCTTCAACGTTGCGCACGTCAAATTCCTCCAATACCGCTGCCAAACCCCACTCTAAATACCAGAACAACAGTCAGGTCTCTTTTAAATTGCGCGTCAATTGTTGTGATGGCGAAAAATCTGATCAGTTAAACGGAGAGGGGCTCGTGCGTGCAGGCGGACAGGTGAGTTGCGGGAAACCGACAGAGGTACCCTCAAACTTTGCCTTCATGGAAATCTTTCATATCCCCCCCTCCGGCTGTAAAGACAAAGATGTAAGATGCTGCGAGCAAAAAAAATAAAAAGGCATGTAGTTGGCATCCTCGTCGCTGAAATGAAAGCGCACCTTCTCCTACATTGTTGAAAGGAAGACGAACGTCCAAAGAATTGAGGCTGTAAGATGAGGATGATCGGTCCTCTGAAGCACGGAGGAGACAAGTCACCGCTGGTAGGGGGTCCTCATTAGCCACATCACATCTCTGGCGGCGTTGAGCGGTGCGTAGGGGTTAGACAAAGTAACGAAAACACACAAAAAGAAGAAAAATAGGTGCAACTGAAAAAAAAGAGGAGGAGGGGAAACGACGGAGGAGAATCCTGGAGGTTGAGAGTTGCTTCAGAGGAGTTGGAGAGAGCGGGAGTGAGAGTTTGTCGTTCGAGAGGAGAGGAGGCTGGTCCGCCTCCTGCTGCTTCTCTTCTTCTCTCAGACTGACGAACGACCTGCTTGCTGAGCACCTCGCGGCTGTGACGTCATTTTAAAGACAAAAATGCCATGTGCTGGAGTGCCTCACTTCATATGGGAGGAGTGTCTCTCACGTCGCGTCAATCACACTCATGAGTGTCGGATTAGGCATATATGTTAAAGTGTCTTTTTTTGGGGGGGGTGGGGGTACTTCAACCCAGGTCTGAGCCAAAGTCCCCCCACTGCATAATTTTGAAAAATGCAAAAAAATAAAAGTGGGCAAGGGGTTGAGAGGTGAAACCACGCCCACTAGCTAGCTACAGTAGCTTGGAAAATAGCTATATGGCAGGGGGAATGATTTTTGACGGGTTTACTGTTTATCAGACCACATATGAGACTGAGTTACCCTCTACCTCACTCCCCGCAGCTGGGAGACTGCTTTGCCGGGAGGAGAGGGACCATCGAGGCTGCAGCAAGTTCAATACAGCCAGCATGAACCATAGATTCTCGGTACCGTCCATTTGCTCTCCTCTCGGCTGTAGACCCCTGGTGGTGGGGAGCAGCGACACACCGCTGTCGCTGACCATCAGCCCGCTTGCTAATCCCGCAAACATGGCGGGATTTAGCAAGCGAACGTTAGCTAGCTAACTAGCCAGACACTAAATGGGCTGTGCTGTGATTGTAATGCTACACAGTGGTCACTGAACTAATTAGGGTTAGAGGAGAGGGGTCTGATTAGAAGCCATTGACATTCTTTCATTTCATCACATTAGTCCCAAACGGTCCACTCTACCTCAGAATCGGCCTTGCAAGATTAGTACGTTATTAAAACAGCAGATGGTGTTTTGAGCCATTTTTAACCATGAAATGCAGATTTTTATGACAATAATAACACCAGCTGAGGTGTTTCATCAAAGTACAGTCATGTCATTTAGTTTATAACTTGAAAAACATGTTTAAGTCTGCAGTTACTCTTTCAGGATATAGGTTGACTTGACTGCTGAGACATTTCACTCAGAAACAAAAATGCCAACCTCACGGTGTCATTAGAGCTGAATTCAGGGGATCACTCGTCTTCTGTGGGCCACCGTTGACTTTTTCCAAAAAAATTCATGGCAATCCAGCAAATAGTTGTTCTGTTATTTCAGTCCGGACCAAAGCGGTGGACAGACCAACGCTCCAGTATTGCCATCCCTAAAGCCATGCTGCAGGGTGGCTACAATAAAACAAAAGTGCTACATATTTTACAATGTTTGCAGATTTAGATTTTGCCTGGAGCATGGAAAATGCTTCGAAAAGCTTTACTTTGTACAGATGTTGGCTGCCCCTTTTACAAAAAAAAGAAAGAATATATATATATATACACACAGTCAGAATTCAGGAAGTCTCAGATGTCAGGATCCATCCCATCACCCTGAGCTTCAGAGTAGTGATACCATAACTTCTAAGCTGAGGTTAACTGTGTTGTTCACAATATCTACCAGCTGAATGCTGAAGTGACAGCTACTTTTCTACCGTCTTTCCCATATGAGACGAATACAGCATTAAACTGTCATCCTGCAGGCATTTTGCACACATGTACTGCAAGATGTCAGCGGGAGGCAAAATCCCATTACATTAGAATCAATGTGCTGATGTGACCGCGCAGCGAGATAGGTGAAAATATTACCTATGACAAGATCAGCTCTTGCGTGAGAAAAATAGAGAATGTGGCGGCCTTTCATGTACAGCTCGGGGTCAAAGTGTCAAACCAATGAACACATCGCACCTGTTTTAGCCTTTGCGAATGCTCTGGCCTTTCCTGGGATAAAAAAATAAATAATTTACAAGGCTGAATTGTTTATGCTCAATGTATTTGGACTTGTTTTGTGCACAACTTCTCGACTAGAGAGATTCATAATTATACCTGGGGAAAAAATGTGCCTCGCCTCAGGTGTGGTTGTGTAGCTCTGTCGGGGCTTTAACTCACGCTCCTCAAGAAAGCCTCGATCAGTATTTTGTCGAAATGAACGCAGGCGCTCTCCTCCCAATCAGATGAAGAGCAGCTGTTTACAAAATTGACTGCTCCACGCATGATGAGGCAACTTTCCTCCCCTTTCTAATTGTCGCCATAAAGCACACTTCTGTCAAATAACCCTCATTACTGCATTAGTGTGTATACATTCTGATCCAAGTGGATACCTCTCTCTCTCTCTCTCTCTCTCAAGGAAGCCCATCAGCAGCTCCCCGGGAGATGGGAGCTGCCGTCGCTCTCGTCCCCTCTGTCACCTCCTCCATCCATTCCCCTCGTATTTAACGCTCTCTCCCCCACACTCACTGTTTTGCATGTTGTCTTCAACGTGTTGCGTGTGCTTGTGCGTGCACTCGTGCTCACGCGCATGTTTGTTTCCGTTGGGTTCCCGTGCGAGCATCATAAGTGTGATGCAGCGTGAACAGGCTTTTTTTCTTTGCCTCGGAGAACGAGTCACAGGTTGTCGTGCATGTCGAAGACTGTGGGTGGCTTCAGCTCACATGGACCTAAACGCAGCATACTGAACATCTGTTGTGTAAGCCATTAACACCCCGCCTCGAGAGTGTGAATTAAAAGGAAGAGGGATTTGAGTATTGCTGTGTATCTGCTAAGCTGGATTGAGTCATTCTATACAGCAGTTGTGGGCACAGTTTAAGTGTGCAGGGTGAATTGGATGCTTCAGATGGGGGGTTTACGGCCGTGGTCTTGCTGGGGTTGCAGACAGCAAATATAGAGACTTTTACATGGCAACAGTTCAATCAACTATCCGTCTGGCCTTCCTTTTTAAACCCTTTTTTTTTTTCTTTACCTCAGGAAACAGTTGGCGATGTTCTCTGCAGCTGTCTGAGGCTTTAATCCGAACTGAAATGCCCACTGGCTTTGACATTACAGGGAACCTTTAGATTATAATTATAATAATAATAGATTAATTCATACCTACATTCATTTTTATTTATTTATTCAGATGGGGCAGTACACATGAATCAACATCAGTTTGATGTACATTAAGCTAAAAGGGGAATTGTAATGTCCATCCGAATGTCAGGTTGACAATGATCATTTTATATTTCATCTCTATATGTATTTAAATGTCCTTACTTGTAACCTGGAAGGTCAGAGTTTAGTTGCTAGGGCTGGTGCGTTAAAGCTGCATCATTGTTTTCCTACATTTTTGTTTAGCTCACCACACTATGACCCTTAAACTGCTAAATGCTCCATACACCAACTAGTGTCGTCTGTCTTGTGGGCCATACGCCAAAATCACCCCAGATAGCGTCAGGCTCGCCACAATAATTACATTTTCCTGCGGCCAGGACGTGTTCATTTGTTTCAGTTCTTTGTGACATAGGTCAACATGTCACAGGAGTCACAGGGTTCTCTTTACCGGTTGGCTGGTCTGTCCGCAATTCGCTGCCAAAAGCTAAACTCTACAACATCAGGAGGATTCGCCCCTTCCTCACTGACGAGACGGCTCAGGTGCTCATCCAGGCTCTTGTCATCTCCCTCCTGGACTACTGCAACTCACTACTTGCCGGAGCCCCGGCGTCGGCCATCAGACCTTTGGAGCTTGTCCAGAAAGCTCGCCTGGTGTTCAATCGCCCCAAGTTCTCCCACACAACTTCCCTTCTCCGTTCTCTACACTGGCTACCTGTAAGAGCTCACATCCTGTTTAAGACTCTGGTGCTAGCCTACAGGGCAGTGAATGGAACAGCTCCTTCCTATCTCCAGGCCATGGTCAAGCCATACACCCCCCCCCCCGACCACTTCGCTCTGCTGCCTCGGGGCGATTGGTTGCCCCGTCGCTCAGAGGTCCCTACGGCCGATCGACCCGGTCACGGCTGTTTTCTGTCCTGGCCCGACAGTGGTGGAATGAACTCCCCACTGACGTCAGGACAGCAGAGTCGCTGCCCATCTTTCGGCGCAGGCTCAAAACTCACCTCTTCAAGAAGTACTACCCTGAGCCTTCCACTCAGCACTCATTGTATTCGTATTAGTTTGTTTCTGCACTGTACTTTGGCACTGGTTTATGCTCTTAGATGCTTGTTTAATAAAGGAGATGCACTTATGACTTCTGGTGACTAGTAGTTCTTTTGAATACCTATGTTGAATACACTTATTGTAAGTTGCTTTGGATAGAAGCGTCTGCTAAATGACTGTAATGTAATGTAAACTCTCCTCAACTTTTAGTTTGGACGCACTTCGCCGTGTTATCAAATGGCTGCAGCTCGCTTAGCTCGGGGTGGCGGCCGCTTCTCTTCATAGACATTGCGCAGCAGCTCTCCGCAGGCCGCACTTCACCGCTGCTTTGGTGTGTTTTTAGCCTTAAGAGAAAAAAGAATGAGCAAAAAGGAGGATTAAAATGCTCTGTAGAAGTGACTGAATCTCAGTCAGGTGATAATGGTCTCTGGGTCTGCTACTAAGACTGACATCTATCACATTACACACAGTGATTCAATCTATTAATATACAAGTATTGATCAGTGCAGCTTAAAGGAATCAGGGAATGTCCCTGCACTTATAGGATAGCACTGGTTTGCACAGTCAGGGGAAAGAAAAAAAGACAACCTTTTATTTTTTAGTTCAGTGTTCATTTATTTATACCAGTAACTTTAGTAAATACAATTTAATTACAATGCTCGATTTGACTTTAAATCTAATATTTCCAAGTCTTTGACAGTATCTACTCTCTTGCTGAATACCACTCAAATAATAAATACAACATCCTAAATAGACAGTGTTTACCATAATCTATAGACATACTTCAAGACACGGTACTGAGCTTCCTCACCAAATGACTCCATATTTAACAGATACATTAGGAGATGTTTAAATGTTTAAAATGCAATTACACCCACAGAGATGTGCTCGTTTTTTCTAATCTCCCTGTTGCAGCACCACCATACAGCGTAATGGTATTTTAACATAAACATATATGGTTTTAGTGCAA